TCAGAGGTACGATCGGCGCGAATTTTGGCGAAGCGATGTCGCAACGCGCATCAACAGTAGATCCAGCACTCCTTCACAATGTTATTTATGGCATCGAGTAAAGTAATGCCCCCATCCCACACCTCCTTGATTTGGCGCCGTGCTACTTTGGAGCGGAGAGTTTTTGTGGAGTCAAAATCTGAGCGCGGCGCGCGCGGCACCTGCGTTAGGCATCTGCCGTGCTCGGAGAGCAGCGCTGTTGCGTCCATTGAAGACGCTCATGAGTGGAAGAGGCGCAGAGAAAACATGCGGGGAGAGCGCACCAGGGAAGAAGAGTGACGCGCAGTATACACCCTAACCACCCTCCGCGGCTTGCGCGGACGGCCGATACCTCGTATGCACGTACATCCCCGCCGGGGAGGGGAGGGGATCTGAGAGGGGATCCGTCATATCTCGCTGTCTACGTATCTTTCTTTTTCTTTCTCTATCTTGCTTAAAAAGTTTTTCATACAAATACATCTGCGCATAATGGATGCCAGGTTGCTTCCATACAAGATGGTTTTTTGCTTTTTTTGTGATCCCCAGGGGATCTTCAGGGGATCCCCTGGAAATCACCTCTCATTTTCAAAGTGATTTATATTCCTGAAAAGTCAGTGAAAAAGCTGTAAAATTGTGCTGAGGACATACTACGGCACGCTAAGCATATTTTCGACAGAAAGAATGGAATCTGAAGATTGTCAATTTTTCGATGATCCCTGGCTCGCGAGCTAGGGAATAATCATCTTTAGCAGCGCCGTAGTATATCCACAATTTTTAGCGTTTCATTCGTTTTCAGGGAGATAAATGGCATTGAAATTGAGGTGATCCCCTGGGGATCCCCAGGGGATCATTCTATAACAGAAAAATAGCAACGTATTGATTAGCACTTTTTGCACCGGCCTTTAAATTCGTTGCGTGAGCCCGAATACCGTACTTTCATTTTCTCTTGCGTTTGATGAAAAAAAGGCGATTGACTTCGCAGAAAGTGCAGATGTAATATAGTCTAGTGGCTAAGGGGTGCGACTCTCAGCTGCCAGACTCGGGTTCGACCCCACTCAGGAATTCCTTTTTGCCACTATCGTTGGCTCCAAAAAACAGCTGATTTCTCCATAGATCATATATAAAAAGAATCTGTGTCTCAAAATTCGAAGGTACCTCCGCTTCAAAACATATTTTGCCCCCAAAATCACGAAATATAAAAATGTAAGAGCATTTTCGCTTAAGAGCTTGTTGTCTTCTTTTTATTGGTACCATTCTCTCCGACCCATCTTCACTGGTTCGTGAGTTATGAGCGCTCAAATTTAACGTATCGGTTAAAAGCGCTGCTGCTTCTTGAACGATATCTTTCGTGGTTCTGATAACCATTCAGGTAATCGCAGGGGGAAGGCGGCCATGCGAATTTTGAGCAGGCGGGCACCGGAAAAATGGTGATTTCTGATTTCTTGCGGCCTGCTTGCAGAAATTTGGAGGAATATTGACCAGTTTTCAGACGAATGCTCGAAAAACTATCGCGGTTCTCCTATAGATTAGTTGCGGCGCATTGGCCGCATTCTCGCGGATTTTCCGCGAATATGCAAAATTATAGAGGGCCGCGCGGTCCTTTGTGGAGAAACGCACTGCCCACTCCGTTGCAAGAAGGCACCTCAAACTTGGCTGATCATGACACCTGCTATATAGAGTCTCACCTTTTCTCGACGTACGCCCGAAACTACGTAAAAAGAGTCCGAGCGCTTGCTGAAAGCTTGGCCAGCGCTCGCTGAAAGAAATTATTTGTCAAGCCTTGCAGAAAATGTTGTATTGCTGCCCGCTGGCAGAATAGGCGACCGTAAAGGAAGTGCCGCTCGCTGAAGGTTTGGCCACGCCCCAAAATTCCGCTGACCGCTTGCAGAAAAGCGCGAGTTTGCGGACCGCCTGCCCCGGCGATTATCTGAGTGCTTGCGGGGAAGTTCGAACGGTGCTATCCTTGTGTCCGCGGCCCAGAATTCAAAGTCGTAAATTTGGCTGAGATTTGGTCGATAGGGATCACAAATATTACATTCTTTTTTCACAAAAACGCCATTGGTGTGCAACGGTGGGTATAAGTAGAAGAGTCAGTTCAGTTTTGGCTGAATTTTGCTCTAGAGGGCTTTCTGAGGTGCTAATCACGAATACCATGTTCTTTCCGCATTGTGCGGCGGGCTTAGTCTTCCAAAATCCTTCGGACCAACGTACGCCGGTCCCTGCGGTTTTGGAAGGAATTTGAGGGGGACGCTGTGAGCATATTGACTAGAAGTACATTGAAGGGGGAGGAGGATACTGTGACTTTCTTCAGTGAGCTCTTGAAAAAAAGGGTTTTGCAGACGGGACAGTTCCTTGAATAACGAAGAAAGAATGGACAACTTCACTGTGGATTTTTAGAAGGAAAAACTTAGTGCATTTTGGCTAAGAAACTGGGAAAGGAGAACTGATATTTTAGGGCTAGAGTGATGAGGAAATTAAGCTCTTGTGGAAGACAGTCCTTTCGCACGGGCGGTCTCCAGCGCTATCCTGATTTTGACTTGTCTTAACACGTCAGCACGCCGCAAATCTTTCTTCCGCCAGCTTTGCTTAGGCAAAAGCCGCCGCAGGGTGTCCGCGCGCGACAGTGGTCCTGTGTGAAAAGCAGTACGGACGCGAATCGTCTTCACCCTCCTCTAATGCTTTGACGAAAAAACCTGCTAAAGCTTTGAGAAAATTTTACACCGAAAAGAACGTACGATATATCAGCTAAGAAAAGTCACAGAAAAGAGAGCTACGTGAAGGATGCTATACGAGAGAGTCGAGAAAAAGCGCGAACTGTAAAGTGTGCATTTCTGTTTTGGTGAATGAGCTCCACTAAACGCGACATCTTTCTTGACTCCAAACGTTCTTCTGCAAGCAGTCGTACTTTCATCATTAGAACTATATGCGCACCATCCCCTCCCAGCAGAACTTTTCAATCAAAACATCACTAGGTGAAGTTTATTAGCTTTTACGGCATTGAAAAAGTGTTATAAGAGGCTTTGGTGACTCAATACAACATTTCTCACACCTGCTAGCCATTGGGCCGCTAGTCACACAAAATAGTGAAAATCTAATTAATCACGCCAGTAACCTGGCATCCATTATGCGCAGGTATAACCTTCATAAGCAAGATAGAAAAGGAAGAAGAAAGATACGTAGAGTAACGAGATATGACGCACCCTTAGATCTCCTTCTCTCCCCAGCGGGAATGTACGTACAGTCTGCCCCAATCCTGACCAGGCCAAAATTGGCATGGCGGGAGTCCGCGTCTCAAGGGTTTCGCGGTCACGCCCACGGCCTGGTTCTCTGCTCTCTCTCCAATCGTTTTGCTCTCTCCGACAGCGCGCATAGGTATAAGCTCCTGCAAGACGAAGGCGGTCGGTTCAATGCGCAACGCGGCTGCGACATGGCTGCGTCACAGCCGCGTCACAGCCGCGTCACAGCCACGTCGTACCTCGAACCGACCGCCTTCGCCTTGCAGGAGCTTATAGGCAGCGCAGACCGCTAGCGCCGCGAGCGCGCAAATTTACGCCGACGGTTCGGCCTGATCCCCATTGAAGCAGACTGTACATAAGGGCCTTGAAATGCAGTGCAGCCACCTATGGGTATAGGCAATTCATCCTACGCACGGATTGGTCGCCGTTGCATCCGATTAAGATGGTTTATGCACGAGGGAGACAGTAGACGGTATGAGAATGCGAAAGAGCACTCTATCAGCAAGACGCCGACAGCCCCATGTTGGCGTGCAATGAATCCCCTAGATAGTCGTTGGACCTGTCTCTTGTTTCATTCCCTTCCATCTCCCTGACAGCGCTTTGCCCGGGGACATGCAGCGCAAACTCCAGCGTTGCGACTTTAAATAACGCTTAGTCCTAAGGTACAGTCGAGTAGATTTAGCGGTAAATATGGTGTGCTTGCACAAAAGGTGAAATGCGGTGAAATTGGCGCGTGAAGAAATAGTTTCGACTGTGACGCCGGCCAATTGCGCGCGCAAGATACCCGCGGTACTGACGTGGCTACTTGTTCACGCGCAAATTTCACCGCATTTCACCTTCTGTGCAAGCACACTATATTTACCGCTAAATCTACTCGACTGTAGATATGTTTCCATGAGTCCCACACAGATATCTGCAATACCACGCAAGTCTGCACATCACGGACATACAGCTCTGTAACTGCTCCGCGGTGTGCCTGTTGGCGGCGTTCGCTAACCCTTCGGCCTATTTGATTGTAGCAGATCGTGTGGAGGAACCCAAGAAGACCTCAGTAGTGATGCAAAGACGCGTGCAGCGTGCGCCGCTGAGGAGGTCTTTCCGCGAACACACGGTGTATGCCGCCGATAGAAAGCATATAGAGATGTATGATCGGTTCCCAGATTCGTGTGAAGGCATGTTGCGGACTTTCCCTGTTTATAAGGATAAAATCAATGAGAGAGTGCGAAAAATAATGCTGTAATGTGAAGGTTTAACAAGTTTATCCTTACATTCAGGGAAGTCCGCAACCCGCCTCCACACGAATCGGGAAGCCGGTGATATGTGTACAGTTCGTATTAATCACATGCTCCCTTTTCCGTAAGCGCAAAAGCTTCGCGTCACGTTCGCGCGCGCCTATGTCGCGGGAGGTCCGCGTGCAGGGACCTTGCGTTGCGCCTGCGTTGTTCCCATGCAAAAGGAAGTACGTAATTGACATCGACTGTAGGCTGCTGTGCGACGAAGGCGCTATCTATCTTTGAGCGCAAGAACGGCATCAGTCGCAGTGCGCATGAGTCGCAGGAATCACATTAGTAAAGTTACGCGCGGTTCGCATTCGCGCCCGCTTAGCTAATACTGCTTCTGCGCTTTCGTCATGCAGTGGCCTATACAGACATTCGCGACAATATCAAGCGCTATTTGTCCGGTCACCTCCACTAGAGCGTTGTCTCTTACGTATCCATTTCGGCTATTTAATCTTTTTCTGCTTGCAGATTCTGAGAAGACTCACCGCAAGATGGTTGTATCAGCAGCCCAGAAGGCTAGAGCAGAAGCAGAGGCTATGGAGGCAGAAGATGAAGATGTAAGCAGCACAGTTACTGACTGTCGCCGTTTTTTTGACCGGTCTGTTGTAATCACTCGGAAAAGAAAGATTATTTTCAGGCCGACTTTTACCAAGATGTCGAGCAGCTTCAAAATCATGGAATTGTAGAAAAAAAAAACTTGACACTGTCTTGTTGTTTTTTGACTGATGTCTTGTTTCAGAATATGGCAGACATCAAAAAACTTCAATCAGTCGGAATCTGCACGATCAAAGGTGTAATGATGACAACGAAGAAACGTTTAGCTGAAATCAAAGGTCTTTCCGAAGCTAAAGTGGACAAAATCAAAGAAGCTGCTTGTAAAATAATGGTCAGAGATTCTTACTTTCTTTCGTCCGACCATTTTCCACTTCCAAGTTGTTTTTGTAAACGCGATTCTGAAGTTTTTACTTTTATTTAGAAAAATGGTTTTATGACAGCCCTGGAAGTTTGCGAAAAACGGAAGCAATGTTTCAAAATCTCAACCGGAAGTTCAGAGTTTGACAAGCTACTGGGTGGCGGCATTGAAAGCCAAAGCATTACCGAAGCATTTGGAGAATTTCGTACTGGGAAAACGCAGCTTTCACACACTTTATGCGGTGAGTGCAAGGTTGTGTATTGTGATCCAGCCTTCATCTGTTTCAGCTACCTGTCAATTACCGAATGGAAGCTATCGCGGTGGGAAAGTCATCTTCATCGACACTGAGCATACATTGTAAGTAAAGAAATTATATGTTGCTTTAGTCCGTGTCAGTGATATGCTCCCTAGCCAATCAGCTCAATCGCAACGCTGAAACCCCGTGCTGGATTTGCGGACGTACTGCGAGCATTCGAATCTGCCGCACTCGCAGACCGCTGCGCAATGCCCATGCGCTGCGGATGCGCAGACACTAAGGAAAAGGGAATCGTGGTTGACATCGGCTGTAGAGGACATTTTTTCTGTTTTCGTACGAACAGTACAGCCTTTCTGCTTGCGCGAAAGCTTTTGCAAGACATATTGTCTGTTCATTGTTGAAGGACGGAGTGTACGACTTTAGTTGAAAGAATCCCAGACCAAAGCGGCTGCCCAGCGAGGCGTAACGCGCTCTACTGATGGAGAAAACCGCGTTCGCACCCGCTTTGCAAAATGATCCACAGGCATTTGTCAGGGAACAACCTTTATAAGATAGCAGGCATTTTGCAAGTTTTGTGCGCCGGTCTTTGGAGACAAATGTAGATAGGAGAATTTGGAAACTTCTTCAAAATATCTGGAATGAACGTATAATATGCACATAGGGGACAGAAGTCGCTCCGTGAATCTTTTGCTAGAACTTTTCCTTAGTACATCTTTCTGAACTTCAGCCGCCCTGAGCGTTTGCGACCTATCTGCGATAGATTCAACATCGACCAAGATGCAATGCTGGAAAATGTCCTATATGCAAGAGCGTACACTTCTGACCATCAGGTTTGCTCTAAACTTTTCAAACCTTTCGTTTCGTGAGCTTTTTCCCGAAGTTCTTTTCGCAACTAATATTCTAGATGGAATTGTTGGACTATGTGGCTGCTAAATTCCATGAGGAGATGGGCGTCTTCAAGTTGCTCATAGTCGACTCTATCATGGCTCTCTTCAGGTAACGTGCTTCTCTTCTTCTGCCTGTATTATAGAGTAGAGGTAAGCTTTTTTAGAGTTGATTATTCTGGTAGAGGTGAACTAGCGGAACGGCAACAGAAATTAGCACAGATGATGAGTAGATTGCAGGTATTGATTTCCGCAATTTTTTGATATTTTTGGTTTTCTTTATTTTGTCGAATATGAGATTCAGTCACTTCTCCAATCACGATCATCTTCTGACTCTCTCAAATGCTTCCTTGAAGTTGCCTCTTTTGCAGAAGATAGCAGAAGAGTACAATGTCGCAGTATTCATTAGCAACCAGATGACGGCAGATCCAGGAGCTGGTATGACCTTTCAGGTACAAAATTAAGTTGTTGATCAGTACAGCCAGCTGTCATCCCATCAGTCTTCATGCTTGCACGGAACCGTTATGGTGATGGCGATTTATGGTAGGAAACATCACATTGTTATGTGGCGTGGAGCGTTAATATATCGTTGAGCTTTGCGCTGATTATGTTCGAGAGATAATGATTTTTTAGGTGGATCCTAAAAAGCCAATCGGTGGACACATTCTCGCCCATGCATCTACAACGCGTATCATGCTAAAGAAAGGCCGCGGCGAGACACGGATTGCTAAGGTATGTTTAACTCTCAAATATTTTCACGTTGTCACCGCAGTAGACACGTCTACTATAAAGTTATGTTAATTACTAGCATTACCATTCATCAAAATTCTGCAGATATATGATAGTCCCGATATGCCAGAAAATGAAGCTACGTTTGCCATAACTAACGGAGGTATCGTTGACGCGAAAGAATGAAAATTTCTTACAAATGAGATCTATTCGCATGAAGCTGGGTTTCTAGTAAAGGTCGTAAGTAATTAGTGTAAAATAGCCTTGTAAATAATGTTTGTTTGTGTTTCAATGTAAGCTTTGTTAGATTTTCCGAATTTTTTGTTTTTGAAAGTTCTTTCAAGAAGTCTGGAGAATATCGGCAAGATTGTGCAGGATCAGTAATTTGAAGTCCGCTGTTTGCTTGCCTTTTTCACTGTACTCAATACTTCTTGAGTTTCTGTATATTGATGAGTTCCTGTGTGCAATAGTTCTGTATATTATCATGAATGATATGTGATAGGTAGAGATGTTACAGCTCAAATTTCTTTCATATCAATAGAAATTATCAATGTTTCGTTAGGTTTACAATGCACATTGAGAATGTTTCTGCTAGTGTTAAAGGAAGACTATAGAGAGTTCAGTCAAGTATCGAGATCGACATGGAAGTACGATGGAAGGCGACGGTACCAGGCATGCCAATAAATTATCCAGAATGAATGTACAAAAATGCATAGCATAGCATGATGTAGACCGTATGGTTCACAAATTACACGATAACACAAATATAACGTAGTACAAAGATGTCATTTATACAGTCTGACACATTGTGATAAATTCGTTCACAGTGACTGCTCCTTTTCCTTCCGAATCGGCCTGCAAACATACCATTGAATGCATAAATGTTGATAGTTAGGGAGGGGGGGGGGGATTGCAGTGTGCGAATTCTCAGGGGTACGCTGGATAGCGTTTGGGGGCCATATGCATCAAAGTTACAGGTAATCATGGCCTTGGCATGTTTTTTAGCTATGAGCCATTTCGTGGTTGAGTAAAGAGTGAGGTTAAAGAATAAGCCAAATCCATCTTTACAAGTAGTAGTGGATACAGACGTCTCTCGACCGTATTTCGACTGATCTAATAGTCAGGGTTGGGTACAAACAGTCTGTGTGTCAATGCTTCCTTGCCGATCAGCTCAAGCGCAACGCTAGAGCTCCGCGCCGCGTCCGCTGGCTTACCGCTTAGTCGCTTAAATCTGCCGCCTGCGCAATGCTCATCCGTTGCAGATGCGTATAGTAAGTTCTAACTCAGTTTAGGCGGAAATTGGACTGGCGGGAGTCCGCTTCGCAACGATACGCGCCGCTGTGCAGTCTGCGTCTCTTCATACTATTCTATCTTTCTGAGTCGGTGGAGGCGCGGACACGCTGCTCCACTTGGAACGTTCGCCTACTCCGGGTTGAAAAAGACCGTAGCCACTACGGAAAAGGGAGCACGTTATTGACACCGACTGTATGTTAGGAGCAGCGGGTTCGTTGTAAAGTAAAAACTGAAGTCAAGGAATAAGCCGAGCCCATCTTTACAAGAAGTAGTTGATGCAGACATCTCTCGACCGTTTTCCTACTCATCTAATATGTGTCATGCAGAAATTAACTGAACCATGAATCTGAAAATTGGTGCATTACACGAAATGCGCACATTGTCAAGTTTTGCTCCCCATGGCCATCTTTTATGCGCAAATGTGTCAGCAAATCTTTTATTGTGCCTTCCGTACTACTCCCCTTAGCAAACTCCAACTCAAAATTACTGTAGATGCAGATAGGTTACGTTCATAAACCATTGTAAAGCTCGAGCAGAATTCGCGAAGGTTACCTGAAGACCTTTACTTGTGTCCGCTTCTCTTCCGGCGCTATGGTTGGAATGCGGAAGGAGACAATTTGAAATTTGGCGGACTGAGCACCAAATATTACGCGCAATGCTGTCGCAGGATAAGTATTGCGTCGAAACTATTTTGAAGGGGAACAAACTTGTTGGAATTTGTAGAGGGAAGTATTTTTATTTTGAGGCTAATTGAGCTCTGTTGTTAGGATGGATATCAGCTGCTTCTGTTTCTCTCAAGTCATGATAGTGCGCTTGCGGTGCCGAGATTTGGCTAAATTTGCGCGTAATACCCACGCCATCAATGCTGGCATTTCCCGCGCAAGTACTCGGCATTCCAGGCGTAGGTGTTTATTCACGCGCAAATTTGGTCGCCAAATCTTGGCACCACAAGCACACTATATTGAGCGGAAAATCTACAGACTGTATCCTACTGGGTAGGACTTACTTGTTGAATGAGTGCAGCAGCTTCTTTGACTGTTATCTTGGTTTTCAGGGTTTCACTCCATGCTACAACCAACTCCTCTGCGGAAAGCTGCAAAAGTCGCATATTTTTTGAAAACACTATTAACGCCTTAATTTCAACCTACCAAGCCATCCTTATCTCTATCGAATTTGTTGAACATCGCCTGGATTTCAGCTTTGCAATTGTTCAGCTCAAAAATCATTTTTTAGCGCTAGAATTCATCTCAAATGGATAGTTTGGTTACCTTTATTTTTGAAGTTATAGCAGTAAGAAATTCTTCGAAATCAATCTCTCCATCGCCACTTTTATCTGAAGATCGCATCACGGCTTGGACGACTTTCGGCGAAACATCGCAGCCGAATCCGCAGAGCATTTGGGCTATCTATTCAATTTATATCATCAGAAATATAAGTACTTATTGGAAGATATAAATTTTTGGACTTGGTGGAACCTCCTATGAATTTTTTTTTTTAAAGGTAACTGGTTATTACTCAAGAAACAAACGAGCTTACTTCGTTGGCAGTGATGGTCCCGGATCCATCATCATCCATAGATACGAAGATTTTGTAGATCTGAAAACAAATATTTTGTGTGATTTATGAATTTCAATAATTGATGGGATTGTCTGACATTTTGCTTGAGTCTGATGTCCGCTGCTAGCACGCCTCAAGCAATTTTTCAAAAAGATTGATATATCTAGAACTTTTGGTTACTAGGATTTGCTCACGATTAAAAATCCATGTATTTGCGAGTCTCTGACGGAAAGCTTGCTTTTCACGCTATCCAATATAGCACTTCGGAACAGAAAAACAATCGAAGAAAACGTAGACTTAACGAAATTTCGAGTAGGAAATGGATTTTAATGGGATTACAGTGGAGCGTGGAAATGGTTCCGAAAATAGACGGTGGTGTGATAGGCAAAGATTTAATTGTGCATGCAGTATTGAAGATTTTCTTAATCAACAAAAGATTATGCTAAATTCAAATAATGCAGCTTTCTTAATTCGAGAATAATTTCGGCGTAGGTAAATTTAAGAAAAAAATGTGTTGCAAATTAAAGTTAAAGCGAGTCAATTACACAGCAAACTTGCTTCGATCTCACATTGCCATTTCTCATTTCACCAGTCACTCAGACAGCGGTTCAGCGGAGATTCCGCAGGACCAGCAAAATTTGCAGCGGTTTCGCAGGATTTTGTTTACTCTTACAAAAATGGACACGTTAAAGATGGTTACTTCCGCACGATTCTCACGTTAGACTGGTTGAAAACGGGAGCTTTCGCAGGATTTGTTACAAAACGGTACGAAAATTCCGAAAGATGCCAGTGGTTCCGCAGCACTTTGACCTGCTAGTACTTCCGCAGATTTTTGAAGGTGTTGTGTTGCCTCGTCAACAACTATAGTGCATTTTCGAATACGTAATCCGTAATCCAGAAAATAGTGAGTCTTGCAGTCAATAGAGCAAGGTCCGAATCTCGCTTAGGTGTTTTCCATTGCTTTTGTGGTTCGCATTTCTCAGAACTTCCGCAGCACTCCATTCGGGAACTTCCGCAGGTGACCTACCGGTTTTCCCAAACGTTCTGCGAATGTTCCGGTCAGTTGTCTGGGCAAGAGGTGGCTTTAGAGCATAAATTAATTTTTGACTTGCCGCAATTTTATATGTTATTTTTCGTGTTTTCACTGACTTGTGGGATAAAGAAACTTTTATCACTTTCTAAATATTAGCTCAGGTTATCATTAGATTTTGTTTAGCTTCCAGTAAGCGCAGAAAGTTCATTGCGCTGAATCCAAGGCTGTTGAACTTGTAATCCCAGAGATTACCCAACACATTTGTTCACTTTACTTCTTTCAAGTGCTGTCAAATCTGTACCTTTCAAAACAAATAAATCCAAGTAAAGCAGCCTCATCAACTTGATATATGGCATTAAATGCTCTGCTATCGGAACATTACATCTTTTCATTAGTTTTCAGTTCATGTCAGTTTCATTCGCTCAAAGCAACAGAATTAGCGAAGTCGCATCCATTGAACGTGTTAAGAAACAATTTTTTTTGTGAATTTGAAAATTTCAGAGCGAGAGAAAAACGATAGAGCGTGAATTCTGTATAGTCTACTTTTTAAGCGAAACAGATTATTACGGAAAAACTGAAATCGTGGAAATTCAAACGCAAGAAAATGGATACGTTTTGAGCAGAGCGTACCCAGATCATTTAAGAGAAGGGAGTGGGGGGGGGGGGCACGATAAGATTTTCTTAAATGAGGGTGTAATCACCAGTATTTCAAATTGATGGAGAATTTTCAATATTTGTGATAATAAAAAAAGAAACTAATAGTTTTGAACTTTTTTAAACCAGGCTATTTTATTTTCGAAAAATTGTAAAAGTCAATATCAATTATTCACAAATACAAACAATTCATTTGCACATTTTTATAGTAAGTCTTTCAAAATTCCGACACGAGTAATCTCCAGCACTTATTCTCAAATTATGACGATAGGAAAGTGGACTGATTTTCAACTGTTTTTTTCATTTTCACCGGAAAAAACCTTTCCTGTATCCTGCTTATGAACTAAAGTAAGATTTTATATAGCGCCACCTCGGAGTTCGCATATTTTTTCGGACCAGCATATCCCTCGAGTATAGAGGATGGACGAACAATTTGGTCTTTGTAAACGCAACATGAGGAACACCCACTCGCGAGTTCCGCATGATACTCCCCGGGGACAGCTTCATGGTCTTATGACGGACGAAGAAAAAGCGCCCGAGTTGTTACGAAGTCGTCAAGAAGATGAAATACGATTGGTTGTTTGTGAGTGAAAATGGAAACGGCTTACGAGGGGATACTAAGCTTTGCAATGGCATACACATAAAGAAGCTCACTGAGGTCTGTTACAAGGGAAAGGTCAGTAAAAAAAGCTAACTTTTCCAAATTCCATAACAATTCTTGGTCAAAATTTCCTAAGAAAATTTTACCATTTTGTAAAAAAACTCTGTTGTTTTTGCTATTTGAATATATGGTATTCCATTGACCTTTTCCACATAACGTATAGTGAGTCATCGCACGCAGAGAATGGACGCCATAGCGTCGACAAAGACAATTTTCGTATTTGAAAGAGACAGCAGACGGTAAAAGGAACGGAAATGCGCTACATCAGAGAGACGCTGACAGCGCGTACGGCGTCCTGTTCCTGCGTACGATAACTCGCCTCTACGCGTCAGCAGTTGGATCATTGCCAGCGCTACAGTATGCTGCGCTACCAAATTTATAATTATTGAAAACAATTACAAGGTTGAGTCTAAAGTTGTAGCCTTTGTGTTATAGGGCCGACCTTGATAACTGACAGAAAATCCCACTTTCGACCATGGTTTGGCTTTCGCGACTTTGGCTGATATTTGAACAATTCATTATAAACTTTTGAGAAAAATTTGGTTGCATAAAAAAGGGCAAATTATCTTCAGTACAAATCTTCTTATTTTTCTTAGAGATTTTTCAACTAGCCTTTCTTTGCGTTTTAGAACGATTTTCCAAACATTCAAAATTGAAAAAAGAGTAAAACAGAAATGAGTTAAACCCTGCAGAACCTTCGAGACCAATGGTTCAGAACTCGATATCAAACATGAAATTGGCAATTTAGTCAGCATTTATCGCTTCATATCGTGTTTCGAAATAGCCACAACTGAAAACTATTAAATTCAAAGGTGAAAATCTTGGATTTAACTTTTGCGGCTGATTCAGCATCATTGGAATTTTCAGATCAAAACCATAGCTGCTGAAACGAGGGAAGAAAGTTGGGTACCAGGAACAATTGTTGGTCAATATTCTATCGGATTTTAACGTCAGTCTAAAGAAAAGTAAGTTTTTTTTATCAGTTCTATTGCAGCCTAATAGAAAGCAGAATCCGTTGCTAACAATGGAGCTTAGGCGGAGCGGTATATAGTACAAGCAACAACTTGAATTCAGAACGGATTTCGTTTTTGAACATCATTAAATATTTAGTAAATATTCAGTAAATTATTTTTTTTTTCAAATTCTGAGTCCTAACGTGAGTTACTTCTCTTTCCCTGGCATTCGGACATCTCCCTCTTTTTGAATAATTGACTTTGAGGTTTGCGCATGCCGTGAAGTTTGAGTAAGCACGGGCAAGCTTATGCTCTTTTGAATCAAAACAATCCCAAGAGGTTTAGTTTTTTGACGAATTGCCTTGAAAGCACCATTATCTCACGAGCACGTGCACAGGTTTGCATGTTGATATGCTTTTAGAGCTTTGAGGGTCGTCTGAGGTCTGGGCAAAGTTTATTTTGGAAGAAATATTTAGCTTTGTCTCAGTACAATCGTCTGGCAAGTAGTCCCTTGGGCTTCATCATGGGACTATTTGGTTCAAACATCATAACTGACACTATTATGGAAACCTAACAGTATCCACGTTCCCGCCATTATTCCCTAAGCTCAGACAAGTGCGGAAGTGCAGAGTGCCTGCGGAACTTCCGCCGGGTTACCTGCGGAAGTTCCGCAAACGTGCGAAAGTCCCCAAATGAGGCGCTGCGGAATTTCGGAAGAATGCGAACAACAGCAGCGAAAGAGAAACCTAAGTGAGATTTAAACCTCACTATATTGACTGAGACTCACTTACTATCCTCTGCGCTACGGATGACATGTTCGATAATGCACTCTAATTGTTGGTGAGACAGCATCATACGAGACGACATTCAAAACCCAGCGGAAGTACTGGTATGTCAAAGTGCTGCGGAACCGCTGGCAATTTTACAAGTTCCGCAGCGCTTTGTTAAAAGTCCTGCGGAACGTTCCGTTTCTAACCAGTCTGACATGAAAATCCTGCGGAAGTTCCCATTTTCAACGTTCCACTTTTCTCATAGTAAACAAAACCAAGCGAAACCGCTGCAAATTTTGCTTGTCCTGCGGAAGTTCCGGTGAAATGTCCGAGAAGTAAAGTCGATGCTAGAATCCGATAATAAAAAAAACGAACCTTCTCGACGTCTTCCTTACTGACATGATACTTGAGTGCCAGTTCTTTCGCATTACTCAGTTTCGTGTTCTTCTTCTTCAGCTTTTTCTTTGGTACTTTATGCTCGAGAAGAGTCTTCCAAAACACGTTGTCTTTTTCGTTTTCAAGTGACATCTTCTCTGGAAAGAACTTCTCTTTGAGTTCGAAGATGTTTGAGCGGTAGAGACAGCCGAAAAAAACAGTGCAAGGAACAATGGATAAGCACATGAGTATAGCATTTGTCAGATCAGTACGGTTGTCGAGTACAAACGGATGTTACTGCATTTCCCAAGGGGAAGAGAAAGTAACAGAATGTGGAACAATAGCTCTAGTTTTGTTCGAATTCTCAGATCAACCATTTTTGAACATTATCATATTGAGGTAGGCCTGGACATGAGAGAGTGAGAAAGGGGAAACCTTGGAGCTTTCAAAGTTCTCATAAAAGGTTGAGTAAGAGCGATGTGGTGGACATTGACAGAGGGAGTAAAAAAATATCAAAAATAGAGTTTTTTTTCTTTTCAATTCTGTTATGCCGTACAACGTTTGTTATGGTTGTAGCTTTATTTGTATTTTACATTTTATTACTTTATTTGGTTATTTTTTCATTTTATTTGCAGACTATGCTTTGAATTTTCAGGCCCTTGAGGACGACGAACCCGTTGAAATGTAAAGCCAATTCTGAATAAAGCTACCATCATAACAAACCTTATATTGCACAACAAAATTGAAAAATCACAACAATGTCAAGCTTTAAAAAACATAGAACATGGAAATTGTTAGAAGACTTTTTCTATTTTGCTCGACAAGAGTTTGGATGAGAGCGCTGTAATAAAATGTACGATGATAAAGTCTCATGATCATACTTGATACATCGTTCTTGAACGAAAAAGGTATGAAGAGTCTAGAGAAATTTTCAGAAAGCTAGGTGAAACCAATATAAACTTACAATTCTTTATAGGACTTACGAGCTTTTGATCTATTAGACATCAATGCAAGAGAAGTATTAGCACCTGACATTTTGAGAAAAAATAAAAATCGCCTCAAAAAGGAAACGGAAAGATGCCGAAAGTGTCTAGAAATTTTAAAATTTTGCAGCTGTATGTCCTATTGAGACTATTGATAGTCATGAAAGTACACAAAGAACGAAGCATCCTTATTTGAAGTATAAAATAGAAAAAAATCATTGAAGAGACGGCGGAGATGTTCATCATTCTGCTTGCGTTTCCCTATTTCAAGAGGCGGAGCAACCAGAGCCGAGAGAGAAGTTGAGGCTTTCTTATGCCTATTATTTTTAGACAAAAAGTCCAAAAACATTTATCACAGGTGCCATAATGATGAATTAAGGAATTTTAGACTTTTAAGACATTGTATCTCTACTTTGCACTTAAAATGCTAGTGCTTGTTCGGTAAAATCCTGGTACGACACTGCACTTGTCCATATGAAGTATACGATGTTGTTAGAATGACAAGTAGCGAAGAAAAATGAATTTTCGAAGCAAAAAGACCCACGCGATGATTGAGAGATTAAGAACCAAGTGCCTTTCTTGACGTATGGGCGGTCCAGAATAATTTGAGCTCCTTTCTATTTTTCAAAGACAAGAAACTTTTTAAAAGCAAAGTAATGTTTAGTTATGGTTTAGTTTAGTTATATATAAGTAAGTATTAAAGTAATAATATTCACCTATCCATATACTCAATTCCCAACTGACCCCTTTTCGCTTGCAAGTATTGCAATAGTCTAATTCTTCGAAATTCCAAACCAGCCAATAACCTTTGATTCAACTGGCTTGGCGGCTGGAAGGCGGGGCTTCGTGATCTAATTAAGGCCACTCGCGTCCGCGATGCAGTCTGCGTCTCTTCCGCTCGCGTGCTCTCGGTTCATTACCTAGCCTTTAGGTCACGAAGCCCCGCCTTCCAGTAGCCAAGCGAGTTGAGTCAAAGGGTAAACTAGCCTGAAGAAGAAATGTTTCGACTCTACTCTTAAAACTTTGGACTTGTAGGTCCACTGGAGGTTATGAAGAGGAAGAAGGAAAGGTCAATGTGACTATGATCCATTCGGAAAAAATTTCTGGCCATCCCCCCCCCTCCCTCTCGCATCTCCACTGCAGTTCAGTAAAAGTTGGATTCGAAAGAAGCATGTATCCGCACCCGATTCACTCCAGAAAACTGACTCTTTCATTTCCACAATCCTTCTTTGAGATTATTTTAGCCGATTGAAATTTGATTTTTTTGTAAAGAGTCGAAATCCAACTTATTTTTCTTCACACCATATTCCCGGAAATAGTATAGTCAGTCACTGTAGTAAATCATTCTTTCCATGCAAAAAAAATAATCTGCATTGTTATTCAGCATCACGCAATTTGACTACGGTGGCGACATTGCATGGTATACTGTAGCTGCAATTCCCGGGAGCCATTTGATAACGTGACACTGGTAGGGGGCGGTAGTTCTAAAGGTCAGTGTCTCTCATGGGGGTTACTAAAGTGATATGTAAAAGTTTACGAAAAGTATTTTGGGGCTAGAAATCCATAAAATTATTTTCGTCAAGTTTTCATTGCTGTACTGTCAAAAAAGAAATTTGATATCTGATAGAATGGGAAGGATACTAGTCTATAATATATATAAAGAATCGTAAACTCAGTTCAAAAATCTGCAAATAGCGGGAAAACGAGGGCGGGTCCCGAAGCGAACGCTCTTCCAAATAGCACCTTTAGATTACTGGTTCACTAGTTCTCAAGAAGTTTTAGTAGCGAATCAAGAAAGCTGCTTACTTTGCAGTACAACGGTCCTTACCTAGAATTAGTGTAGCTCTTTGAGAGCTTGATACTATATTAGCATGTGTTTTGATATCTGGACCATGAGCAAGGTGGCTCAAAAATGTGCAATTACACACGTTAGCACATTCACGACAGGGCCAATTTTTCGATGGCTGCTTTTGACAAGAGCATATTTCGCAAAAATGAGTCTGCGTAATATTTTCAGGTCACTGATGGGTCCTGTGGTCTGAAGTGTTAATTTTTGGGAAGTACACCAAGGAGTGTTTACAGAATTTTACTCGGTTTATCTAAAAAATTTCACCGTAAACTAGCAAAAATCAAAAACTTCAGAAAGCATACGAGCCACCGGTGGGTCTGTCCGAAATGGCAGGACACGTATGACCCACCGGTGAGTCATATAGTCGTGAATGTGTTAAGAAGGAAACTTAAACATATACGCATTACTGTACTACTGTACAAGTACTGTACGCATTCAAACGTCACGGATAATCATTAGAAATTTACGTATTTGTCCCATCTCGCATCCATTCCCTATTTGGATCGGCTTTGGCACCAATAATTTCCCCATTAGAGAACGAAAACTCAGAGAGAACCAAATGCGCTATAAAATTGCCTACGCAAGACATTAATTCCCATTAATTCACACATTAAAAACGCAATAATTTTATGATGACGGCATAAACGATGTTAACAGAGAGCAGCAAGAAAAAGAAAGAAGAGAATAGTTTAGTTTTGCTTGTCGCCATCGAAAAGAAGATGAGATGCACTAAAGAGGAACTTTTACAGTGAGGTGAAAATTGCTTTTATGAGAACCTTTATAGCAATTTAAGCATATTTATGAAAATGGGACCACCTCTAAGTGAAATGGGAAAGTTATCAAATTTGCTAGGGGAAATGGTTATGTGCATATGTTCGCCTGAAATTGGTCTGAACATATAGGAACTTGGAAAGAAGTTCGAATAGCCCACATGTGCTTAGACAGGATACCCCTTTCAAGGAAGCAAAATGAAATTACGGCTTTTTTGAACAACTCAAATAACGAGGTGGAAATTCGAGCTTCAAAATACCTAAGTTCCTTTAGAATTTTGCTTATACCTTTTAGAGTGCCAATTTCGTTGGACAAATTTTCTTGAAAGGCTGTACGGAAGTTAGTCTAACGTACTTCAAATAACCTTTTAGCTATTCATTGAAGGACGCAGGTTACCGCGCCATGCTGACATCATTGGCTGACAGAAAAGATTAAGCATTTGATTACTAATTCTGCTAAACAAGATAAAATAAACTCTTGCACAAGTAAATACAGTCTTGCACTTTAGTTATCAATCTACTGAACATTAAAGATATGCCTGGTTGGAAACAGAAATTTTATTTTCACAAACAAGGAAGAGCAAGAATCTTGAAGACCTCAACGAAAACGGATAGTTTCTATAAATTTCAACCCTCTAATTACTCAAAGCGTGTTAGTCTTGCGTGTTATACAGTTGGTGCCCTCAGTTGAAAAGAAGTTCTCTTATCATTTGAGCCTGTGAGATTCATTTTTCCTCTCAGAAAAAAAACACCAAAACCTTATTTTTTCAAAGTATTTGTTGAGCTATACGATTGCAGCGTTTCTAGATTTCCGAATCCGAACTTTAAAAATTAAAAAAAAAATCAAAATTCCTCACTGTGTGTTCCGGAAATTGTCTAAAAACAAAAATTCATTTAAGGGAATGGAAACTCATAAATTTTTCTTTGTGCTGGTAGAATCCGAATGTTTGATGTTGGGACTATTGAACAGGAAACTAAAAGTACATGCTTTAAACAGTTAGTTTGGGAACCGCAGCTGAGTACTTGAGTCTCCAATTTTTTGGTATATTTTTCCTAGTTCAAATTATTCATTTTATGCTTCTCAAAGATAGCAGGGTAAAGGAAGAATGGTATTTTTATGAACCCTGTCCTAGGTTCAACGGTCACAAGGACCTCAAAAATTCTTTCAAAACTTATTTGGACAATCAGTTGTGTTACAAGTCAAAACCTCAATAAGCTCGCTAGGCTTTTCTATTAGGTTGAAAGATAGTCTTGCACCAAAATATCCAAAAAAAATCGTTCAAAAATATTCAAAGCAGTGCACTCTGTATAGCATTTTCCACTGTATATGATTTATGCAGTAATTTATCGTGTGTACTAGAAATTTTATCTCAAACAATACCAAAACTCGACAAAAACTGCAACTTCTCTCAAAAACGTCCTATCAGCACAAATTTATTTTGGTGAGAAAGCGCAGATTATGATTTTTTTAGCATTTTTGGGCAAAAGTTGGAATAGCGCAGTTTGAGTGTTTGCCTTCAACACGGTCTGTAGCTGGGAAATGACAATGATAATTC